GAAGATTATAGCGGGGTGACAATGAGCAGGGAAGAGAAGGGACCTCAACGAGAGTACTGCTGGCACATCACAGCAATGTCTGGGGCTCCTGGAGCGGATGGGGGCACCTCTCTGCAAGCCAGGTCACATAGGGTCTTGAGTGCCAGGTGAGGAGCTTGGTGCTTGTTTGGATGGTCTGCCCATCCCATCAACAGTTAGTACGTAATGTGTACTATGTGGTAGGTACGAACACTTCTGCTCTTCGAGGAGTTTATATTTTAGGGGAATCAAAAGGTGACAACCAGCCCAGGCATGGTGGCTCACGCCTGTAATCCTAGCACTCTGGGAGGCCAAGGCGGGAGGATCACTTGAGGTCAGGAGTTCGAGACCAGCCTGAGAAAGAGTAAGACCCTGTCTCTACTAAAAATAGAAAAAATTAGCCAGGTGTGGTGGCTCACACATGTAGTCCCAGCTACTTGGGAGGCTGAGGCAGGAGGATCGCTCGAGCCCAGGAGTTTGAGGTTGCTGTGAGCCAGGATGACGCCACGGCACTCTAGCCTGGGCAAGAGAGCGAGACTCTGTCTCAGGAAAAAAAAAAAAAAGTGACAACCATACTAAATAAGTAAATCGTATAGTCTGTTATAAGGTGTTAAGTGCTGTGGGGAAACACAGCAAAGGTCTGGGATTAGGACTGACAGCAAGAGATTGGTTTGCAGCGATCAAGTTAAGGCCAAATTGACTTGAAATAATCGGAAAGTCAGGAAGTCATGAAGTACTGATCAGGTTTGTACTTTTGGAAGATGACAACATCAGGGTAGGGATGAAATGGAGAAGGTGATTTAGAGCAGTGATTTAGGCAAGAAGCTTAAGTTGTTGAAAAAGAGTGCCTGGTTAAACGTGGGGGTCTCTGGCCCCACACCTACCTGCTCGCCGCAGGAACATGGCTTCTCGAGCCTCTGGACTGTCCAGGTGACTCCGATCACCGGGGCCAAAGCCAACTGTTGGGAAGGGAGAGACGAGGATGGTGGGAGAAGAGTCCCTTTTTACCACCCTGCCTGATTGCCTTGACCCCCTCACCTTGCCACTCCTTACTTACCTGGGCCAACAAAAGGAGGGCCACCCACCATGGGAGGAACTACTGTGGCTGCAGCGGCTGCCCGGGCCTCCAAAGTCTGCTGGACCTGGTGGAGAAGAGGTGGGGGTGAAGGGCCTGACTCAGTGTCCCCATTCTGCCATGGCTGGCTCACTCCAAGAGGCTAAGAGTTTTATCCTTTGTGCTCAGCGTGGGGCTGGCTGTCAACCTTTAAGTCTCAGCTAAAATGCTACTTCTCAGGGAGGCTTTTGGGATCACAATAGGTAAAGCTCTCCCTAGCCTCTCTCATCCCCATCTCCCATGCTGCTGTCCTGATCCAAGCCACCATTGTCTCTTGCCTAGATCATGATATTAGCCTCCTCCTCGGTCTCCTTGATTCTGCCCTCGCCCCTGACAGTCTGTTCTCTAAACACAGCCACAGAGACCCTGTTAACCTCTAAGTTGGACCATAGCACCCTTCTGCTCAAAATCCTCTCATAGTTCCCCATCTCAGAGTAAAAGCCAAGGTCCTTATGGTGGCCCACGAGGCTCTACAGCAGTGGTCCCAAGTTTTTTGGCACCAGGGACCGGTTTCATGGAAGACAATCTTTCCGTGTGTGGGGGGATAGTGAGCAATGGGGAGCGGCTATAAATACAGGTGAAGTTTCACTCACTCCCCTGCCCGCCACTCACCTCCCGCTGTGTGGCCCGGTTCCTAACAGGCCACGGACCAGTACCAGGCTGTGGCCCAGGGGTAGGGGACCGCAGCTTTACAGGATCTGGCCTCCACTATCTCTCTGTCCTTATCTCCTCCCACGGTCATCTTTGCTCACTCCACTCCAGCCACCGATCTCCCTGCTGTTCCTTGCACACGACAGGTAGGCACCCCTGGCAGTTCTCTGCTGGGAATGTTCTTCCCCCAGGTATCTTCACGTCTTTGCTTAAATGTCACCTCTTCAGAAAGACCTGCCCTGAACGTACTAATAAAGCTCTGCCCTTCTTACCATACCTTCACCTGTCTCTCCCTAGTAAAATGTAAACTCCAAAAAGGCAGTGATTCTTTGTTTTGTTCTGTTATATGCCTAATGCCTAGAACACGTCCCTGGTGCACAGAAGGCACCCAATAATTACTTGTTGACAGAATGAACAAGTTTCATTTACTCAATTTCATTTTAATAGTGTTTCTCTCTCTTCTATCTCTCCTACTCATATATAATTGGCTATTGAGCACTTGAAATGTGGAGAATGAGAAGCTATTTAATGTAAATGTAAATTTTAAATAGATACGTAACATTCTCGTCATCATCGCAGAAAGCTCTACTGTACAACATGCTCTAGAATATAAGCTTCCAAAGGGCAGAAATATTTTCTGCCTTAGTCATTACTGTGTCCTCAGTGCCTGGCACATCAAATATGTCATGCTAATTAGTCAAGCACCCAAAATGTCAATAGCTCTCTGTATACACACACCTACTGTGTTCAAGGCATTATGTTCCCTGAGTTACATGCCTTAGCTCAGCCATACCTGTTGGTATGTGTTGGTCGCGATAATCGGGCGGATCACAGGAGCCGCTGGGACCTGCATCGCTTCTACCGTGGGAACCGTGGGCACCGCAGGAACAGCAGTTGGAATTCCGGTTACTGGAGCCCCCAGAACTTCCTGCTCAAACCTGGAGGGGCAGGACAGATACCACAGCTCAGGACCTCACAGCAATTCTGGAACGCAGGGTATATCGAGACAGCGCCTTCAACCCAGCCAACTCCTCTCCTATCCCCGCCCTAACAATCCCGAAAGTTCCACTTCCCCACGTTAGAGCCGTATCTCCGGCCTATCGAGGGCTGGAGGCTCAGGATTCAGTGGCTCTGGCTCTGAGACAGCTTTTACTGAGCCTTGCTGAGGGCCTTACAGGGCCATCTCCGCCTCCATTTCCTTCAAGCGTTCCTCGCCGCTCTTCCCCGGGATGCCGGCACCAGGGCCCGGGACCACGGGCCCTCCTGCACCCGGGAGTCCCGGGGCCGGCCCCGCCCCGGCCATCGCTGCCGCCGTCGCTGTTGCAGTTACTACAGACTCAGCACAGCCGCCACCGCCGACTCTGCTGCTGTCTACTCTCTGGCTCCGTCAGAGTGGGCGCCGGCGGATGACGTACGGCGAAAGCGACGGCGCCGGCGCATGACGCCATACGCCCCGGAATGAGGGCCAATAAGACTTGGCCACACCCTCAAGGAGGAATATTGGCCAATCAGAGCGCCGGATAGACGAACTAAGGGAAGAACCTGGATCTATGAGAGCGCAGCGATGAAGGGCAGCCACGCCTTGGTGGAGGGACACGGGCTAATGAGAGCGAAGCAAAGTGTGTTGGTCCCATCCCTAATGTGGTATCTGGACCTTTGAGAACGCAGGAAAGTTCGGAGGCCCCTCCCGTGCTACCTCAAAGCCCGCGCCGGAAGTTTTTAAACACGCTGAAGTCCGCGTCAACCCCAGGGTTGGGCGTGTCTAGGGACCTAGCTGGGGGCTGGGGCCCGGGGCCTCGTACCACGGGGTAGACAGACACGCCACCTGTGATTCCCAGAAAGACTAGAGACGTCATGGAGGAAACTCAGAGGAAGAGCCTGACCCAGGCTTCCTGGAGGAGGTGACATCTGAAGATATTTGCTAAAGAAAACGAGGAAAGATGTTCTGGCTAGAACAGCTCATGCCAAGGCCCAGAGACAATAGTCCAGTGCATCTACTCGGAGGGACATGTGTGTGGGTTTGGACTCCGTGTCCTTTCTTGGGACACAGCTGACCTCTCCCCTTTTTTGTAGCCCTCAAAGCGTTTTATTATGTTTTCAAACATGCAGATTAGAGGGAATAGTATTAATACTCTGAAACACTACCAATATTCTGCACTTCTGGTTTCATCTGTATTTTTTTGCTGAAATGTGTTAAACCAAATTCTAGACATCAGTTCACTCACGAATGCATCAGTATGTCTAACATAACTATTTTTTAAAACATGCCATTAATTATGCCATTATTAATACCATCATATTAATTTCTTAGTATCACCTGACACCCAGACCATGTTTAATTTTCCCTGCCTCAAAAATGTCTTTATACAATAGTATTGTAAAATCAAGATCCAATTAAGGTCTACACATTGGATTTCGTTGGTTGGGTTTTTTTTTTTCTGTTGAAACTTAATTTTATTGACTGCCTTGTTTTTTTTAAGTCTCAATTTGAATCTGCACAAATGAATGCTGTTAAACTACTGGCTTTTGTTTGCTTTTGTGCTAGACATGTGATAAAGAGAGAATAAAAGCTTTTTTTAAAAAACATTATTAACTGAAGTCCATACTTTATTCAGATTTCCTTAATGTTTACCTAATCCTTTTTCTGTTCCAGCATCTCATCTAAGATGCTACCTTACATTTGGTTCTCATGCCTCCTTGGGCTTCTCTTGCCTGTGACCGTTTTTCACATTTTTCTTATTTTTGATGACCTTGACAGTTTTGAATGAGTCCTGGTTAAGGTATTCTGAATGTTTCTCATTTGAGATTTATCTGATGTTGACGTTAATTCTGTGTTTATTTTTCTTCTGGAACCGGGCAAATTAAGTATAATGTTCACTTCATTTGGGAGGAAAAAAATCAGCAAGAAGAGACAGGGAAACCTTGAAAAATAAGCTATGAGGGCAACCAGCCATTTCAGATATTACAACATATTACAAAGCCTTTGTAATCAAAACACCATGGGAATGGCACACAGAGAGTTAGATACTCAACGGGGCTGAAGAGTACCCAAATATAGCCCAATTAGACATGGAAATTTAGTGTAAGAAAAAGTGACATCTCAAACCAGTGGGTAAAGTTTTACTTTATAAATTGAAGAATAATCCACACAGTGAAATGCACAGGCCTTAAGAATATAGCTAGATTGGTTGGGACAAGTCTCTGTTCCTGTGTAACCTCTACCACTCTCAATATATAATACATTCCCATCACCCTAGAAAGCTTCCGTCTCCTCCTCAGTTGATCCCAGCCTCTCTAAGAGGCGACTGCTGCTCTGACTGGGAATTTTAGTAAGTGCTGTTGGGATATATGTAAAATAAGACAAAATTGGATCTCTCTGCTAGGATAAATTCCAAATGGCTCAGATTTAAACGTATAAAAACTAGAAGTCAATGTCATCTTTTAACACCACCTGCACCCCCCAGCTCCCCCCGCCCCAACTACACTGGCCTCCCCTGTGGCCCTCACACCAGCACATTCCAATTCAGGGCCTTTACATGTGTGTAGCTGCCACCGCGAGCTCTTCCTCAGACACCCCGGTGGCTCCTGCTCCCTACCTTTGTGGAGTGTGACTTTTGCAGTGTAGCCCTCTGTTTAAATCACACCTCCTACAACCTGTTTTATTCTCTCCATAGCTGTTATCTGCCAATATACAATATATTTTACTCATTTTGTCAACTGTCTGTCTCCCTGCCCTAGAACATCAGCCCCCTGAAGGCAGGGACTTCTGTCTCTTTTGTTCAGTGCCGAATCCCCAGTGCCCAGAGGAGGTGCTCCCTTACTTTTCACTGAGGGTAAATGTGATGGAGTTTCAGGGGTGTCTGGGGACAGTCCACAGCACTGTGGGTTTTGGCAGGGTGTGAGAAGAGGGGCAAGGGAATCGAGAGGAGAAGCAGAACAGCATGTGAGGGGGGCTGCAGGCATGGGTGGGGCGACGGGCTGATAAATCCTGGCGATGCTTCGTCCAAATATCGTATTGAGAGAGGTAAGGTGTCGGGTGAACAAACGTGAAGTCCTTGACTCCTGTTCGAGCCCCTCTTCATGTGCACAGCTTCTCCAGCGCCCCCCGGGCCTGAACCCAGCGCAGCTGCCACTGGGCCAGGGACAGGCCCTGGCAGAGCTCCCCCGAGAGGGCAGCTTGGCCTGGCTGCTCCCACCTGGGGAAGGGATGGCATCAGGGGGACGGCCTGGCCCTCCAGACCCTCACTGGCCTCCCCCGACACCACGGCCTGCTCCCTCTCACCAGCCCCTGAGTCCTCACTTTCCACGCAGCTCAGTTCCCCACCCCCATCACGTCCCCTTCTCACCAGTCCCCCACGACCCCCTGCAGCTCGGGGATTCGCTCCAGCGCCTGTTTCAGCAGGTTCTCCAGCTTCTTCAGAGCCTGCCCCACGTTCTCTTTCTGCTCGTTTTCCTGGGACGCCTGGCTCTGCAGCAGCTCTGAGGGTGAGAAACAGGGGAGGCAGCCCTGAGTCCCCTGGCTCGCTGGTGCCTTGCAGCCAACGCGTCACCAGGTCTCCACTTAGCCTTGACCTCAGCATCTCTCCCAAACCTGTCCCTCCTGCCAGGTCCTCCTCCCAAGGGGAACCCCACCCACCCCAGGCCTCTTCCGGGATGCCTCCCTCCCTCCCTCCCCCGACAGCCCATCAGTCTCCACGGCCCATCCACCCAGCTTCCTGAGTTTCCTCCTCCCCACTTCCCTACTCTCCCTTCAGCCTCCCTCCTAGGCTGCAGGCCTCAGTCTCCCACTCGGGTCCACCCTCTACATGGCAGTCAGCGTGATCTTCCTGAAGCTTAAACCCGACCCTCTCCTTCCCTGTTTAGAACCCTCCAAGGCTCCCTAGTACGCCTAAGGCAGAGTCCAAGCTCCTCAGCCTGGTATTTGAGAGTTTGCATTATGTGGCATCTGCTTACTGCTCTTGGGAAAAACCTGACTTATCCCCAGGGCCTACGTGAGACACCATCTTACCTCCTGGAAGCCCTTCCCAGCATTCCTGATGCCACGGCTTCCTCCTTAGCCTACTCTAAGCCCTTCACTCAAGAGGTGTTTCCCTCTGGGACTGGGACTGGGCCTAGTCCCTCTTCATGTGCCCAGAACAGGGCCCAGCCCAGAGCAAGTGCAGATTAGCAGTGTGGTCAGACCTCTTGGGCCTGAATACTGACTCCACCCCATCCTTGCCCTGTGACCTGGATCCTGACATTTGCTCTTTCTTTAGCTACATCTGCTGTCAGGTGGAATTATCTGAGCTCTAGGACAGTGGGGGAGGGGGCAGACAGATCGATGAACTCTGGAGATGGGACCCACAGGGCTTGCTGACAGGTTGAAGGTGGAGGGTTAGGGAGCTGGGGGGTGTCAAGGATGATTCCCGGGTTTCTGGCTGCAGCACCTGGATGAGGAGGGTGGGATAATTTACCGAGGAAGGAAACCAAGAAGAACAAAATCGCTTTTTGGAGTAAAGACAGAACCAGGAGTTCCATTACAGATATGTTAAAGTTCCAGAAGCCCTGGGGGTGTGGAGATGCTGTACCATGTCTCGGACTGTTCTTGTCCCTCCTGCACGCTGCGCCCTCCCCTCGTGGAGCGGTAGAAGGCAGGGAGCTGCACACTCAAAGGCCTGAAGACAGTCTTTCCTACTTTGCTGACGGTACCCCCAATTCATCTCTTCCATCTCTTTATCCTCTGGTTTTGCTTCTGCCACGGGGAAATCCGGGGGGCTGGAAAGCTCTCCCCTAACTTCCCTTTAAGCTACATGGGCTGGCAGTGGGCAGATGCCCAGCAAGTGTTTGTGAGTGAATCCCGGAATGCATGACTTCTCTGAGCTTCCGTTTCCTCATCTGTGAACTGGGAGTCTTAATCCCTTCCCCGGTGGTAAGGACCGGGGAAGGCTGTGTGTGCGCAGACGATTACTGTAATCGCACTGGAGACCCGGGCGCTTACTGCGTCCCGGGCACAGCCCACTGCCCTGTTTGGGTCACCCGCCTGAATCCTCCCAGCAACTCTGTAAGATACTATTGTTATGCTTACTCTACAGAGGAGGAAACTGAGGCACAGGGGATCACACAGCCAGGAAGAGACAGGGCTGAGGAGAGTCCAGGTAGTTTACTCCACAGCCCAGCTTTCAACTACCGAAGCGCACCACGTGACGGTGAGAAACGAATAGCTGGCAACCCGCCGGGCGGTGTACTCGGTGGTTAGGAGCACGGACCAGCCAGACTGCCCGGGTTCGCATCCCAGCCGTGCTACTGGGGACACCTACTACGTATGCCCTCTGCACCTCGGTTCCCTTCTCTGTGAAATGGGGAGCACGGCAGGCTTACCAAACAAGTGAGCATGTTTAACGCACTCAGCGCATAGTAAGCGCCGCTGGGTGTTCCTTCTGGAGGCGGCCGGTACTGGGCAGGGGCAGGGATGCTGGCTGGGGGACGCGGGGCAGCCTACCCTGGGCGGACGGGCCTGGCGGCAGGCTGTCTGTCATGTGGAGCAGATCCCAGCACCGGAGGTTCCGCTGGTCCTGGAGGAACAGGAAGTCCTGGCGAAGAGAGGCAGCCACTGGCAGAAGCAGCTCCGGAGCCTGGAGGGAGGGGGAAGGACAGTCACCTTGGGCAGGGGTGGACAGACAAGTCGTAGGGGACAGGCACTCACCTTTCCTGGGGGCAGCCCCAGCGTGTGGCTCAGTGCTATGAAGCTGGAGCCCCTTGGGGACATGGGGTGCAGCTGGTGGATGGACGGTAGGACCGTGGGCAGGGCTTTCAACCTGTGGGGGGCAGTCCAGGTTGGGTGGGACACTGAGAGGGGTGCTTGGGTTCTAGAGGTTCTTTCTGTGGGACCAGGAACATGGAGGTTGGTCTGGGGACTAGGAAGCCAGACTGGGGCTGGTGACCTGCGGGTGAGGTCTGGCATCCTGGGAACACTGGGGGTCTGGGTTATGTTTCTGGAGAGAGTTCAGGGAGTGACAGTCGCCCATGGCAGGGGACATGGGGGCAGCCCCCAGTCTCACTCTCTGGGGCTGTGCCGCAGCAGGGTGCTCAGCAGAACGTGGGGCAGATGCCGGGCTTTCTCCTCCCGACGGCGACGCAGCTCCTGGATCTGCGGTGCCACTGCCTCAGACGTGGGGACCACCTTTCGCTGAGCCAGCGCCAGCACCTGTGGGGAAGGAGAGGGACGGGTGGGGCAGCCCCGCCCGGCAGATCCGGCCCTACCCGCGCCGCCCCCCAGCTCCCATCTCACCTCCCCGGGGCTCCGGCACAGGCGGGTCTTGCTGGCTGAGTTCCCCTTGATGAGCAGGCGGACCTGCTCCTGGGTCTCCTCCTGAGGAACCAGGAGGCCACCGAGACTAGCTCCTTCCCGGCCCCCAACCCCAGGTCACCCCTTTGCACGGGTCCTGCTTCCTCCTGGGAGACTCACCCTGGGCCCCTCCCCCCAGGAGGCCGTTCTTAATTTTTCTTTTTTTCCTTTTTTCGCTTGGATCATCTACACCAAAAGGAGGCCGTTCAAAGCCTCCACTGTGGCCCTTCGCCAGGCCCTGCCACTCCTGCCCGGGCCCAGCCCCTCACCACCAGCTGGCGCCAGCGCAGGATCCGCTGCTGTTTGCCCTGAAGCTCCCTCAGCAGAAGCTGCCGGTGCCCAGCTGCGTCCTCCAGCTCCCGGCTCTGGGCACGCAGGGCCTTGAGCTCCGCCCGCAGGCCACAGTCGCGAAGCCCCAGCATCAGCACCTGCCTGGGGGACAAGCAAAAGACAGGAAGGTGACAGAGACCCGGTGGGGGAGGGAGATGAGATCTGCAGGGACGCACAGGGGACACAAACCAGGGAGACAAACTTCGAGGGAAGCGGGGCAGAGACGGGGGCCGCAGGGCAGAAAAAGTCCAGCATCCCGAGACACCCGGCGGAGGGGCGGCCTGAAGGCCTCTGTCCAGGGAGCCCCCTCACCTCTCGCTGGATCCCAGAGCACGTCTCTCCGCTTCCTCCAGCAGCCCCTGCAGGCGCCAGGCCAGGACTTGCCGCTCCTTCAGGACGGCGCCCCGCTGGGTGAGCAGTGCACCCACAGTGTGCCAGCCCTCCTGAAGCAGGAGTACAAAGTCAGGGTGGGCACGGCCCATGGGGTGAGGGGACTGAGTGGGTCTTGGAATGGGAGCGGGTGGAGTCCTGGGGAGGGTCCTGGGGTCACCTGGATGAGATGCACCGTAGACGGCAGGGCCTGGCCGGAGTCCGACTGGTCCAGTGCCTGGGGCCTGGGGTGGGGGCACAGCTGGTGAGGGAGCAGCCCCGTGTCCTTGCCTCAGTGCTCGAGGGTAGCCAGTATCCGCCTGCCTACCGCACTGGGCCCTGGGTTTCAGTTCTGCCCCAGCAGCAGGAGGCCGTGCCCAGCTCGCCCACCCATCTGCTCCACTCCTCACCTGGGCATCTCCGTATCTCCGAGCCCGTTCCCATTGCACAGAGACCGAATTTCTGCCTCTCGCTCTGCAGCCAGGTGCTCCAAGGCAGCCAGGATGTGGCCCGGGGGGTGGTTTGTCAGCAGCGTCTGATGGGGGCAGGGATGAAGTCAGGGCAGGACTGGGGCAGGGCTGCGAGCTGGGGCCCCACAGGAAGGGGGTGGGGATCAAGACTTAGGTGCTGGCACCCTGAGGTTTGATCATGGGGCTGGAAGGTGTGGCCTTTCCTGAGAGCCCCACCCTCTTACCTCCACTGAGCTAAGCCACTGCTGGTAGGAAACTCCGAAGTGGTCATCGCGAGGGATCCTGTGGGGTTGGGTAAGGGGACAGAGAATGTTATAAGACACATCAATTATCCCTCTAATTATCACTGCCACCCTATAAGGTATGGGCTGTCATGGTCCACATTTTGCAGATGAGGAAACCTCATCTATGCCTGCTAGACTTGAGTTCCCTAATTATACCAACTTGCTGGCCTTGGAGCCCTTACATGCGCCGTTTGCCTGGGACACTCTTGACCCTCTACCCTAGCTAAGCCCCCTCCCCTCCCTGCCTTCCCAGCTGGGAGAGGCACCTCCTCTGGGTGTCCAGAGCTTTTCAGGCTTCCCCGCCTCCCACCAGCCCTAACCAGCTGGTTGTCACTGTGTGTGATGGGTCTGTCTCCTTTTCTTCGCAGCCTGGAAACCCTGGCAGGGCAGGGCCTGGGACTGACATAGCCCAGAAGCTCAGTGTCTGAGGAATTAACAAACAAGCGACCCCCCACCCCACCCCACCCCTAAAGCCCAGGTTCTTTGCAGGGTCTCTGGGGGCTGGAGGACACTCACGGGGTGCTCTCCCTTTTGGCCTGGGGAATCAGGAGGTTCTGCAGGAACTGGGCCCGGAGGGTACAGGCTGCTCGGATATCACGCTAGGGAGAAGAGGATGGGGAATGAGGGGGACCAGGTGTCTGCCTGAGGCTGGACTCCCACCCCTCCTCCCAGGGTCCAGGACTCTTACCAGGACCACAGGCTCCAGGCCCAGGGCTGCTGACGTCAGGGGTCCAAAGGTCACATCCACTTGGGCCTTCCTGGAGGGAGGAGTACAGTTGGGGCTGGGGTCCCTGGGAGGAGGGAACTGGGAGAACAGATGTCTGTGCCCCATCCCCTCTCACTGCAAGGCTGGTCACAGGGACCAGTGAGCCAGGATTCCAGGGGCCACCTCTAAGATTTAGGCCACTGTCACCTCCCAGCTGGACTACTGCATTAGCCTCCTCACTGGTCTCCCTGCCTTTGCCCCCTCCATTCTGTTCTCTACCTCACAGGCAATGATCCTGTTAAAACCAAAGGAAGATCACGTCCCTGCTCAAAACCCTCCAAAACCGCGTGATTGATGTTTTCCCATCACGTTTAGAATAACAGCAGTGGATAACAGGTACTCTCGTAAGCACTTTACATGATTTAACTCACCTAATTATCTCACCTCCCCTATAAGGTTGGTATCAGTATTGTCCCCATTCCACAGATCTGAGAAACTGAGGCGTAGTGAAGTTAAATATTTTGCCCAAGGTCACGCAGTTGTAAGTGGCCAAGGCAGGGCAGGAACCCAGTCTCAGAGTAAAATTCCAATGCCTCCATGGTGCTCTGTCCACTCCTGCAACCTCACCTTCTCGTGTTCTCCCTCTTGCCTGTGAAGCGTGAGCTGAACTGGCCTTCTGGCAGGTTCTTCCCGCATACTGAGCTCAGGGCCTCTGCTCTTGCTAGTCCCTCTCCACGGAAAGCCCTCCCCTGACTCAAAGGATACCTCCTCAAAGGCCTTCCCTGACTACCCTTTCTTCATGGCCCTCGTCTCTAGTTTATGATCTGTCTTCTGTGCATCAGAGTGTAAGTGTTAGGAGGGCAGGGACTTGTCCTTCGTTTACTGCCGTTTCCCCGGAGCTGGTGTGCGAGATATACATTTGGCACGATTCTAGGCACTGGAAATACAGGTGACTGAGAAGATAAAACCTCCTGGCTTTAAATCCTATGGGGGGGCGCCCAGAATTCTGGAACCCCAGAAGGGATCAAGGCAGAGCACTGGGGTCTCGAAGGAGAGCATCTAACCACCTAGGCTGGTGAGGGCTGGTCCCTGAGGCCTACCTGTCTATGTCCTGCAGGCGCCTGAGCTGGTTCTGCAGTCTCTGTGTGGGGTCTCGGAGCCCACGCTGCTGTCTTCGCATGGCCCCAGCTTGCGCCCGAAGGAGGAGGGCGCGACGCTGAGTGTCTTGCATGCTCTGCAGTGCCTGCTCCATGGCCATGTCTATGGGAGGAACAGGGGTGGCTGTCAGCACCTTCCCCACCACATGTTCCACTGACCCTCTTCCCGGCCCCACGGGTCACCCTGAGCCTCAGTCTTTCGCTCCATCAGCTCCAGGCTCTGGTCTAACTCCTGGATCTCTGCCCGCAGGCGGGACACAGTGGCTTCCAGCTCCAACTTCCGACGGACCTGGTAGGGTCAGGTACAGGGTAAGACGCGTGGTCTGATCAGGGCTCAGCCTGGCCTGACTGCCTTTTGTGGGGCACCAGGCTCCTCACCTGCCCAGGGGGTGGCAGAGGCTTTTACCTAAGCAGTTTCTGTGTCCGACACAGAAGCACTAAGGTACTACCCTGGCCCCCTCCTTCCTCCTCGGATTGCCTCACCTACCCTCCCAGCATGAATTCCTATCTACATCAGTGATACCCACACCTCTGTCCCAGTCCTGATCTCTTCCCCGAGCGCCACATCTAGAGTCCCAAGGCCTCCCCTTAGATGTCATCTGGGCCCCTTAAACTTACTGGGTCCCACACTGGCCTCAGCATCTCTTCCAATCCTGTCCCTTCCCCCATCTCTCCTCACCAGCTTTGATGCCGCATATCCATCATATCCATGTCTCCCCTCTCCCCCCACGACTCGTGTCTGTTTCCCCCTGGATTGCAAGCTCTGTGAGTACAGGGATCAGGGCTGTCTTGTGACCCAGTGTCCCCAGCATCACGCAGCACTAGGCTGGGCTTAGGGTAGAAGATCTGCAAGTCTTTTTTGGATAGAAGAGAATCTTGGAGCACATGCTTCTCACCTCTGGACTGTCCTGGTGGCCATACCTAAGGAAATGAGGCCAAAGTCAGGGGTGACTGGGGCTCCCAGGGGGAAGTGTGAAGCTGTGGGTGGGAACAGGGCTAGATTGGACCGGGGAAGACAGGAGGAGATGGATTATTACCACAACAGGTTTCCGCGGATCTTCTTGACAGTCCTACCGTGGAGAAGAAGGAAGAGGAGTTACTGTGTCCTCGCCTGGGTCCCCTCCCCTGCCCCAGCCCAGCTCACCTCTGACTGTGCACGTGCTGCAAGATGTAGGCCCAGATGTCAGCGCCCTGGCCCAGACACAGCCTGTGGGGACAGCGTATGAGGGTGTGCGGGGGGCAGCACCCACGGTGGAGGAGCCTCCTTCCCAGGGTGATGGTGACGAGGAAAGTCTACTGGGGAGCTCCCTTCTCTGGGAGGGAAGGCCCATGCTTTTAGGGGTTAGATATTCCCTCCTTCTCACTAAGTGTGGGGGCAGGCTCATTCCCTGGTGGGGTGCTCCCTTTGTCTTGGGACAGGGTTATCTCCAGTCACTTCCAGAGGCTGGGGGTGGTGGGCGTACTGCCAGGAAGTGCACTCTCACGGCCAGATGTGGGTCATCACTCCTACAGATTCAGTCCCCAGTGGGGTGGTCACTGCTAACTCCCCAGCGTCCTGAGGGCGGGGAGCCCTCGGTAACTCGGGTCATTCACAATGGGGGATCGAGTTCTCAGTGAGGGGTGGGGAGTCCTCACTCCCGGAGTGGCCCTCACCTGCGCAGTGTCGCTTCCGGGACCCGGGCCGCCCCCATCTCTTCGGCCGCCCAGCGACCCAGTTCCCGCGCTTCCAAGGCTGGCTCCATAACAGCTAAGCGGCCGCTGGAGCCGCCTCCCGCACCCTCTTCAAGTGTGGCGCCCGCCTCTGACGACACACGTGCGCCGGCGGTGACGTCACCGGTTGCCGGGCAGACAGCTGGCCCCGGCGCTGCGGTCTGGCGGCTCTCGCGCCCCCGGGGTGAGTCGCTGAGTAAAGACAGAAAGGTGTAGAGAGACGGTGGCGCCCGCTCGCCTTCCCTCGTTCTCCCGCTCACTACCAGCTGTCCCGGAGCCTGCGAGGTCTGTGGGGTGCCCCAGAAAGCACTAGGGGTGGAGTTCTGGAACCTTCGAGGCCTGGACGGAGATCTGGATGCGCTGTGGGAGGAAAACTCAGTCTGAGACAGGCCCCGAGCGATGGCACCGTTCAGGGACCTTTCATTCGACATGCGTGCCTGGGTCACCACTGTGTCCTCAGTGTTCAGGACAGAGCTTGGGTCTCTAAATAGTTGTCGAATGAACAAACAGGGGGAAAGGTAGTGGGTGAGACCAAAGCTGGGGACCCAGGGAGGAGGCTGGAGCAGGATGAGGGGTGGGGAGCCAGCACAGTGCTGGGCCAGGGTGAGGCTGTGCGGCGGGGAGGAGAGGCTAGGTAATCGGGTCACGGCGTTGACGGACTTGGGGAGGTTCAGGGCTCTGGCTGAAGGACAAGGGACCATGATCACCACTGAGATAGCAGATTTGGGGGGAAAAGCCGAGGCCAGCTTCAAATGCTTCTCAAGGATTGAGAGGCAGCAGACAGTGCCAAGTGCTGATGTAATCTAGCTGGGCTTCCTGGAGGAAAGATTGGCAGCTGTAACTCCTTGATGTCTGGTTTTGCAACAGCTGCCATTTTCCCCAAACATCTTCACTCTTTTACACTGTGTGGAGTGTTTTGCTACTTAAAAAAAATCAATTAGACACCATGTCTATGAGATTTTCAGGAGCCTTTGAAACCTTTAAAATATATTGGCAGTTAAGAGAATGAAAAGATAAGTCACAGACTAGGAGAAAATATTTGCAAAACACATACCTTGTAAAGGATTTGTATCCAAAATATATAAAGAATTCTTGGCTGGGCGCGGTGGCTCACACCTGTAATCCTAGCACTCTGGGAGGCCGAGGCGGGAGGATGCTTGAGGTCAGGAGTCAGCAGTTCCAGACCAGCCTGAGCAAGAGCAAGACCCCATCTCTACTAATAACAGAAAAAATTAGCCGGGCATGGTGTGGTGGTGCACGCCTGTAGTCCCAGCTATTTGGGAGGTTGAGGCAGGAGGATTGCTTGAGCCCAGGAGTTCGAGGTTGCTGTGAGCTAGCCTGATGCCACGGCACTCTAGCCTGGGCAACAGAGCAAGACTCTCTCTCAAAAAAAAAAAAAAGGAAAAAGTTTCTGCACAAAGAGCAGTCAAGTTGAAGCCCTTTTTCCTACTGGCTTTTAATTAGTCATCCTGCATCCAGCATCTAGAATGTTTATTTTGCAGTTGGCTGATTTTCAGAAACAAACAAGGGAAAAGAGCCAAATCCTTTACAGACATACATAACCAAATCAAGAGAAACCACGATAAGAGCGTTCACCAAGATTTTAACCCAGGCATGCAGATCAAACAAAATACTAATCTGGTCACACAGACCAAGAGTGAATTCACCAGAAAAGACATGCCTCAGACACAGAATGTAAATTCTGTAGAAACCACAGCACTCAAACCAGAAAGACACTTGTTTTTTATACCAGAAAAGACAAAAAGTCTTTTGGCCTCCCAGGAAGAATGTGAACTCTTACTTAAGGTGACCTTATAACCAAACCAAATCTTAAATAATATCAAAAAGCCGCTACCAAAAGGAGGGAGGCTGGGCCCGAGAAGAGACTCACCAGGGCGGAAAAGGTGACCCGTGGAAGCAGAGAGCTCAAAGGGTTCAAGCGAGTACTGCGTACAGTTTCCAAGAATCGCCAATTCCTTCTGACAGTGATCTTGCTCCAGGTCCCACTTTGGATGCCATTTGTGTCACCCCAAAGAACAAACAGAGACTCTCTAAAATCAAATGATATTTATTCGGGAAAAGGGCACTGCAATGGGAACATGCACGCCATAGTAAACCATGTGCGTATTCAGGAACGTGAAGGAAGACCAAGGTCTTTAAAGGAAAAATGAGGAGGATTACATAACTGTTTCGAGATAACTATCCTCGGCTGCAAAGAGCAATAACAAGGATGATGCCAGTCCAAGGGTGGACAGGAAGTCGCTGGGCAGATGTTCTCACAGAAGTATTTTTTTGTGTATGTGTGTAAGGTTGCCAATGGCCTTTGGGCAAGGTTGTGGTTTTTGTAGAGTCTTTTGTGATAGTTTTGTTATTAGGCGTACAAGTGTGAGAACCATTTCTTCATGGGCTTCTCTGGCTCTATTTTTGAGGGTTTATTTATTTATTTTTTTAACACAAGTGACTCCATTTTGATTTCTGACAACTTGCACACCATCTGCAGCACTTAATGATGGGGATACATTCGGAGAAATGCGCTGTTAGGTGATTTCATCATTGTGCGAAGATCACAGAATGTACTTACACAGACCTAGACGGCGTTGCCTACTACATATCTAAGCCACACGGTGTGGCCTGTTGCTCACAGGCTACAAACCTGTCCAGCGTGTCACTGTGCCGAATACTGTAGGCAACTGTAACACCATGGTGTTTTTTGTGTGTCTAAACATAGAAAAGATATAATAAAAATATGTCACTATAATCTTATGGGACCACTGTCATTTATGCAGACTGCCTTTGACTAAATGTTGTTACGTTGCACATGCCTGTATTTCAGTCTGGAGGAGCCTGAATTCCACAGTCCTCTTGTTAGGAGGTGTCTGGGCGAGGCTGGGAAGGTGGAGAGCCGGAAAGATTTGTCAGAAGTCACTAAGCACCACGACACCCCTAAAACAATGACTCTGTGTCATTGTACACACGCGTATTTAGTAAAAGTGCAAAAACACACAGGATGGATTCACAGCAACACGAAGTCCAGGTTTTTTTTTTTCCTGGAAACGAGGGAGGGAGGGAAGGACAGAACAGAGAGGGAGAGGGGAAGGAGAATAATACATATCTGTACAATTTTATTTCCAACAAGAAGAGATCTGACGCAAATATAAGAAAACATTTACATCTTTTAAATCTTGATAGTACTTGGGGATTTGTTGGATCCCTTTTCTGTACTGTCTGTAGATTTGGAACATTTCTTTAAGCACTTTAACAAATGCAATGTTTTTTATTTTATTTAATTGACATATAATGATTGCACGTATTCACAGGGTACATAGTGATGTTTCAATACATACGATGGATAGTGATCAGATCAGGGTAATTAGCGTATCCATCGTCTTGAACATTTATCATTTCTTTGTGTTGGAAACATTCAATATCCTCCTCTTAGCTGTTTGAAACTATATATTATTGTTGCCTATAGTCATCCTCCAGTGCCCTAGAATACTAGAATTTACTTCTTCTAACTAGCTGTCATTTTGTAACCTTTAACAAACTTCTCCCTGTCCTCTGCTTCCCCCTGCTCTTCCCAGCCTCTAGTGTCCTGTGTTCTACTTTTTAATTCTGTAAGATCGACCTTTTTCAGCTTCCGCATAAGAGAGAACATGCAGTATTTAACTTTCTGCTCCTGGCTTGAACATGCTGGCTGTTCTGTGGAGGGTGGATGAGAGGGGGAGACTGAGGCCAGGGCAGGGAACCCGGGCAGGTGATGACAGGGCTGCCCCATAGCCGGGGGAAGATGGCTGAGTCAGGGGAACTTCTCCCCAGGTTAAGACCTTCACAGGGATGAAAGCAGCGTTCTCGCTGGGGCAGTGCCTGTCAGAGCTCCCTCCCTCCCCATCTGGGCTTTTGTTCCAGCTGTGCCCCTGCCTGGATCACCCTTCTTCCTTCTCTTTGATGGTTACCTCTTCCTCCGCCTCTAGGTCTTAGCTCAGATGTGCTCTCCTGAGGAAGCCTTCTCTGACCCCCTATGTTGGCTGGATCATCTCCTCTGACCTCTCACATTTAAGATTCTTTTTGGTGACAAATGCCCCCCAAACCCATTTCAAAGTATTTTTTTTTCTCCCAAACAAGAAAATATCTTGGCTCACATGAGTACAAACTGGGTACCGGTTCAGATTGTGCTGGTTCAGGTGATGTGTGATCCAGCAGCTCAGAAGGCAGTGATTACGAGCAAAGCCTCTGCGGTCTGACTGCCTGGGTCTGAATCCTGACTTCACCACTCACGCTCCGGATGACCCTGGGCAGGTCTCTCAATCTCTCTGGCCTCAGTTTCGTTTATGAATTGGGGACAATAATAGTACTTACTTTTCCTTATCCTCTGCTGTCCCCCAGGTGATGTCTGGTCACCCCGGCCTGTCTTCGGCTGGACTCCTTTTAGGTCATTTAGGATTTAGGAATCCCCCTTAGCCCTGATGTTTCCTCTTAGTAATTTTCCATCCACTGACCCCCACCCTGCTCCGTGGCTGTGAAGTCCCACTTGCTCATCCTGTATTTGGAGCTGAGTCCAATTTCTTCCCCCACTGCGAGCCCATTGCAGTGGTCCCCGTACTTACCGAGATGGTCCCGAATGGGGTCTTCCTTGCCCGCTTTACCAAGTGTCACTGGATAGTTTTTTCTTTAATGCCTCTCCCCAGCTTTCTCTCATTGTAGATCGGACCACTCTAGATTGTCACTTTCTGGTGGCATGTCTGTGTCTCCCCCCGGTTTATAAGTTCTCAGGGGGTGGGGTTGGATTTCAGCTGGCCACCGCTGTGTTCCCAGAGTCAGGCAGCACGGGCAAGGCCCTCGGTAGGCATAAACAGATTTGTGGTGTGAAAGCGTGAATGTGGGCGGCCTGCCCTCAAGAAACAGCGCCCTACTGGCTCTCCCATGCCCCCACCCCACTTGGCAGGGTCCCAGAGCTGGTTTTGACTTCTGGTCCAATGGGCTGGCTGAGCTACCATTTCCTTCCCCTCAAGTTACTGACTCAGGCTGGCAACACTTGTGTGATATTGTGAAATATATATTTGGTCTTGGTCTCATTTCATGGCCCAGAGCTT